AGGTCTAATAAGGTCCGATCGACCCCAAATTTTGGCAAGTTATAATAGACTACGTTAAATATCCCCTATTTGCTTCGGAGTATATATCGCCTAGTAATTATCAAGAAAAGGGCGATTGAAAATTAGAGATATTTTGATGGGGTGCGGGAATTAGGCTAGTTAGGGTTGCGACCGGGGCCTTAGGCTAAACTCCAGGGTTTCGAACGAATTGGATCACCTCGATTATCTTAGTCTACAATGATCAGGGGGGGTAGCAATTAATTCAGGGGGTTTTGAAGCTCCCTAGCTATCATCTCACGCTTTTTAACACTATTTCACCCCAAAGTTAGCATTCGACATTCGTTATATTTCATGCAATTCATTATTGTACGATATATATATTGCACTAGTCAACCATAGTAAGCCAACTTTTTCACTAACCTTCGACTAACCTAGTTATCGTGTGTAAAACATATGAATACGTTATTCGACCAAAAGAGGTCTTCCGGCACCTCTAGTCAGCTAGTCATCGAATAGGGAAGCCGAAAGCGCGCCAAATTGCTAAAGCTATACAAACATCTAAGCGCGCGTAAGAATGCGACGAATAGCAGCCACCAACCGTGGTAGACGACCTAATCCCCTATTTACTAGTTTACTTAGATAGCATTTTATATAAAAAGGGTCAGTTCTACCAATTTATAGCGCGGTTAGTCGGAACGATACGTTACCATTAGCGCCAAAGTCATAGATAGAGCGCACCCGCGAACTATGGCGGCCGTCGGCGCCAGCAAGGTTTATCGGCGACTAAGTAGCAAATTCAGCAATTCACGCGAATTGTCCAATACTAGCGAGCATTCGGTTAGGGGCTAGGATCCCATTATATTCGCGTACGTACGCTTAGGGCGGAGGTTATTCCTAAGGCCAATTCGATGCTAGCGACCAAGGTTACCGACCGGCTAGTCGAGCAAATAAAACAGACATTAGCTAAACGCAGAGAACTACCCTAGTTAATCGAGGCTAGCGAGCGCGATAACGCGAATCTATAGCTTCGACGGACCTAATAGGCCGTGTATCTCCGTGGAATTAACCCGGACGACCTTCTCGGCTACGTTAAAGCACCCGATACCAAGTCATCTAATCTAACCGAAATAGCTACTTGCGCGATATAGGATTCAATAGCCGCTATAGCCCGTATTAGCCAGTTAGTTTATACGAAAACTAGCCATACAATTCGCACCGAAGCCATACGGACGGAGCGCGACCGACTACCGCACCAGCCGCTATAAACTTACATAGATACTAATAACATTGAGAGACACACCATCCCGTGGTAGCAAATTTTAATGTTTTTCACTCGCACGTAGGCTACGCATAAATAGGCCAGTCCACATTACAAATTCACTAGGCGCCAGCGTGCGGCGTAGAACTCGCTTTAGAGACTAGCCTAGCCGGGCGTATCACCCAGCCCAGCTAGGGCTAGTTCAGATAGGGCTAGTTTAGACGATAGCAGCGAGCATTCGGAAAGTGGCCCCGGGGATCCCACCCAGCGAATCGCCAGTAAATCACTATTTAAGCTCGCCCCTATTGATTTGGCGTGTCTCAATTTTTGCATCGAGCTTTTAAACCATCAACTTAAGGTCGAGGACTACGAAAGCGCGCTAATCTACGCCATAGCAGTACTCGGGCGCGGCGAGGCTAGCTAGCGTACGGCGGAGAGCTATCCACCCATTTTATCGAAGGTGATCAAGATCGCACGATTTATGGTAGTCCACAAGGCTTTAAAATTGGATCCCACGTCGGAGGCAATACTATATCAGCTAGCGGAGCATCAAATGGTAGGGGATTAGGAAAGCGAGAGTTCACTCGATTCACCCGATTTTCAGATATCAGACGATAACTTTTACAATTTTGGAACTAGCCCAGTTCAGCCACCCACCTAGTCATCCCAATTTATTCAATTTACCTAGGCTTAGCGGCAGACCCAGCGATCATTCCGAGAGTGGGTGACTAAGATAGTAAGCCAGTTTATGGTCCGTGGAACTAATAGTCCAATTCAATGGTTATTAGATCTACGGACGTACGGCTTAAAGATCCACTATAATAGCACCACAACGGGCCACGTTAGCTAGATGAATCAGGACCAGCTACTTTACCAGCAGTACAATTTCACAATAGGTAACTTCCGTGGGTTCATCCACGGGCTTATTAACTTAGCACGCCAAATACTCCACAATAAGCTATTATTTACCGTTGAAAATAGGTCAGTTCTAGCTATTCTATGGCAGGCAATTTACGACGATCCCACGGAGACAGCCCACGGGTGGAATTTTTTAAAAGACACCCGTACGCTATGGCCCGTGGTCGGCGAGGAATAGCTGATCAGTCGTCTCTAGTAGGATAGCCTAGTCTAGCAGCGATTCATTGATCGTAGTATAGGCCGGGTACGACTAGGAGCTATTAACGTATACCTTCAACGGGTAGCCCATTTCCGTGAGAAGCTTGCCATTGCCATTCACGTAAGTGGTGGCCAGCCCGCCCGCGCACCCGAGCTATTAAGCATTCGACATTGCAATACTAATAGCGGAGGCCGTCGGAACGTATTCATTGAGGACGGGCTCGTTATATTCGTCTCGCAGTACCATAAAGGGTTTTATACATCCAATAACACCAAGGTGATTCATCGGTATTTACCCCGAGAAGTGGGAGAGCTTGTGGTCCATTATTTATAGCTAGTATTGCTATTTATCGAGCTATTAGAGGCGCACGTAGAGAAGGTACGGAGATCAGATGGCGTGGAGGAGATTAAAAGGTGAGTTTTTTTCAATTTTTCAATTTCATCAATTTCATCAATTTTTTCAATTTCATTAATTACTTTTGAATTACTTTTGAATTTTTACTAATTTTAGACTTAGTAAAATACGCCAGGCTTACCTCTGGGGTCCGGATCCTGGCACTGGATTGGTCATCCGATAGACTCCGTGAAGTGCTAAAGCGAGAAACCACCATTGGGCTTAATGGTCAAGCTATTCATTTAAACGCTTACTAGGATATTGCTATTGGCATTAGCCGTCGCTTCATACGGCCATCTAGCGTATTTCCTAATAATACGCAGCAGGACGTGCGAGCCGAGGCTTCACAAGAGGATGACGAAGAGGGCATGAATGCTAAGCAATAGATAGGTCACATTGCTGACCTCCAGGCGGCCCATTCATCGCACGTTGCCGGCATGATCTACAGTCGTGGCATCACCGAGCAGCCCGGTACGACGGCCCACCGGCGTGAGATATTTCGGCTTAGTAGCACCGACTAGCATCGCTTTTTAGGCTTTATGTCCACGGATGACGGGGGTGCCGAGAGTGCATTAGGACTGGCCCAGTTTTCACCATAGCAGAAGGAAGCTAAGATAGGTCGTACGGAGCGTCGGTGGCAATTGACGCAGGCAGCCATAGAGCCGGAGATACAGCGCATAATAGGTGGTAATAGCGAGCTACGCCTCCGAGGGGTACAAGCACCGGCATTAGAAGCTATTCAGCGAGGCCAGAGCCCGGTGGTGGCCGTTATACCAACCGGGGGTGGAAAAAGCTTACTTTTCATGCTTCCCGCGTGGATCAGCCCCCGTGGGGTCACGGTGGTGGTAGTGCCATTAATTGCATTACGCGGTGATATGGTGCATCGATGCCGGCAGCTCGGCATTTCATGCGTGGCGTGGGAGAGCCGTCGGCCGGCAGACCAGGCATCCATTGTGCTAGTGACGCTAGAGTCAGCTATTACGGAGGATTTCATGACATTTTTGAACCGGCAGCGGCTATGTCATCGGTTAGATCGCATTGTGATCGATAAATACCACGTCGTATTAAACGATCAGACCAATTTCAGGCCCGCCATAGCTCAATTAGGTCGATTGCTCGTGGCTCAGGCTCAGATGATATATTTGACTGCCACGCTGCCACCGACGGCCGAAAACCAGCTATTTCAACGGCTACGCACGTCGCGAGAGAAGGTCCATTTATTTCGGGCACGCACCCATCGCATGAATGTCGCGTACCGGCTATGGCAGCCCACGGTGCCGAACCAATACGCTAATAGCTATGATTAGGTAGAGGAACCCAATATAGTACGATTTATTGGAGACCGTATTAGACGCGCGCGTGCGAACGGCCGGGTGGTCATTTACGGGCCCACCACCAACACTATCGAGAAACTAGCCCAGTTAGTCGAATGTGAGGCATATCACAGCCGTACGATCGACCGCTATGGCGTACTAGCCCGTTTCCAGGCCGATACCACAGGGGTAGTGGCCGCTACTAGCGCGCTAGGAATAGGTGTTGATATACCCAATATTCGCAGTATTATTCATATTGGATTGCCACGCAGCTTATTAGACTACGCGCAAGAGAGCGGCCGTGCTAGCCGAGACGGGCTTCGCAGTAAGGCCATTATTGTTCAACCCCACGGGTTTTTACGGCCGAAATAGGACCCAATTCATAAAGACCCCATGAAAGCTCAAGCCGAGCAATGCCGGCTAGACCGATATATATCTCTAGACTACTGCCGACGCGTCATACTTAACGAGTATTTAGATAGCTATCAACGTCAATATTGTGGAGAATCTAATAATACGGAGCAGCGCTGCGATAGGTATGACGAGCATTAGCAGGCAAATGAAGGTAAGATAGAGAGTGAGCTAGCAAGTGAGCTAGGAAGTGAGGCGGCAAGTCAGCTAGCAAGTGAGGCGGCAAGTCAGCTAGCAAGTGAGGCGGCAAGTCAGCTAGGAAGTGAGAGAAATGGCCTAGTTCGCAATACATCATTTCAGATATCCGATCCCATGGTTTTATCCCATATTTTGAACCAGCTAGCCGACGGCCGTACGGAGCAACCCATAGAGGATATTCAATATAGCCAGGGGCCACCGGAAGTGATCCAATTAACTAGCGATTCGGAGGCGAATTCGCAGCGAAGTGAGAGTGAATCCGTCGGATTTCGGTCCTAGGTCGGATCGATCAGTCCGATTTATCGTCGTAGCATTAAACCACTAGGTAAGAGACCACCTAGGGTGTAATTTCAACGCCAAGGAAACTAACCAATTTATTGCTAGTAGAAATAGCCAATTTAACGCCAGGGCGACTGACCAGTTCATTGCCAATAGCCAATTCGACGCCACGGCAGCTGACCCATTCATTGCTAGGACCAATTAGCAATTCATTGCCAATTGATAATTCGACGCCACGGGAGCTGACACATTCATTGCCAACGCGCGTGGCCCGTCCATTGATCCCCACGCATACAATTGACCAGTTCCAGCGGCTAGACCGTGAGAGACAGGTGGTCCAAGAGGTACCTCAGGCAGGACATCAGGATATTGCCGCCGGGGTCGAATTTTTACAACAACAGGCCCAGTTATAGCTAGGACGATGCTAGTGGTGTACTCAGCGTGGGCTCGAAGACCGGCATGATTTATACGAGTGCCGGGCCCAGACCCAGTACGGCAATAACTCCCCGAAAGGCTGGTGGTTACGGGTACGCCGGCAGGTCAAATATGCCGCATTCGGTGGTTACTACGGGTATGGTATGCCGCAGTCCATTTGCAGTCGATTCGTGAATGCCAGCAGCCAGGGGCATTGCACGTACCGAGGGTTATTATTATCGGGGCTAGCTGTGATAGTATACGGCGAGGGAAGTGAGGTGATAAAGGAGGCGTAGGCTCGGAGGTTAGAAGGGCTCGGGGTATCAATCGGCAATAAGAGCGAGCTCGTACGGTATTTAGGGTCACGGCATAACGGGGAGACGGTGAAATTGATACATAAGTATATATAGGTCCGAAGGAGGTGGATAGAGTATAGAGAGAGGAGTTAATATAGCGAGAGTATTGAATAGCGTCATAAATTGAATTCAGAGTGAGAATAGGTTATTTAAGGTGTAATAGATAGGTAGGTAGAGCTTTATAAGAGAGGTGAGGTGTAATAGAGAGGTGAGGTGTAATAGAGAGGTGAGGTGTAATAGAGAGGTGAGGTGTAATAGAGAGGTGAGGTGTAATAGAGAGGTGAGGTGTAATAGAGAGGTAAGGTATAATAGAGAGGTAGGTAGCGTGAGAGAGGTGGGTAGCGTGAGAGAGGTAGGCAGCGTGAGAGAGGTGGGCAGCGTGAGAGAGGTGAGGTGCAAAAGAGAGGTTATTATAGTAGAGGTACGGGGGTGAGGCATT